TAACTATAGATTACATAGATGGAAATATTTGTTTACATAGATGACCAAACCGTTTGAGACCCACTGAGATAACTAGACTAAAGTTTACAACCTAATCACTCAGAGAGTCCTTTACCTCCCTGAGCTGACATTATCTCTCTCAGTCCGACAGGAGAGGACTCTCCCTCTCCTTATTGTTGAAACAGCTTCTAATCTCCGTTAGCTCCGAGCTAGCACCAGATGCTAACAACAACCCACGTAACTCTCTCAGTCTCTCTCTCTCTCTCTCTCTCTCTCTCTGTCTCTCTCTCTCTGTCTCTCTCTCTGTCTCTCTCTCTATTTCTCTCTCTCTCTCTCTCTCAGTCTCTCAAAGTCCAACAGGAAAGAGCTCTCCCTCTCCTTATTGTTGAAACAGCTACTAATCTCCATTAGCTCCGAGCTAGCACCAAATGCTAACAACAACCCCCCGTAACTCTCTATGTCTCTCTCTCTGTCTGTCTCTCTCTCTTTCTATCTCTCTCACAAGATGCGCTCGTGCCACACACACACACAGACGCTCCTCCGTGACGATGACCGCTTGCGTAAAAAAAAAAAAAAAAAAAAAGTGGGGGGGACACAAATGGGATTTTGAAAAGTGGGGGGGACATGTCCCCCCTGTCCCCAGTGGAAATTACGCCCATGACCCACATCATGTCCACCAATATTCCTTGTTACATGAGGAAGTAGACCACCCTTATCCACAAAACTACACAGTGATGACATGCCTAACACTCTGCTATCATGCATGCTACCTGGTAAGCCAACAAAAACATTCCAAAAGAGGCCTCTACCATCCACAACACCCTGCAGGACGAGCGAGTGCCAGCCTTTGCGGTTGAAATACTCGTTGTGGTATTCCTCTGGTCTCAGAATGGGGATGTGTGATCCATCTACTGCACCTACACACTGTGGCACACCCCATCTGCGCTCAAAAAATAACGCCATCTCCTCTAACTTCTCAGCGTTCGGCCATGGCATGAACTCACAAAGGAGTATGCTCACAACAGAGGAGCAGAACTCGTGCACACAGTAACACACTGTAGATCTGCCGACTCCAAACAAATGAGAGATGGTCCTGTACTCAGAGTTGGTCGCAAGTTTCCACAGTGCTATGGCGATTATTTTAGCCACAGGGACACACTCCCGGAAGTTGGTGTCGCTTCTCCCCAACGTTGCTTCCAGGCGACTACAGAGGTATTGGAAAGAGTGCTTGGACATTCGGAAATCTTGGATCCACTGCACATCGATGTACGTTGGCACCACGTTCTCCCACCAGGCCGAGGTTCTATTGTTCACCCAGAGAGAGCGCGGGACACGACGCGTCCCGTAGTATTTGCATATCTGGAACACATACAAAGGCGCAAATTAGCTCTACATAACTCCACAAATCCTACATTAGATAGTATTAATAATTTACTGAACTTACCATTGCTGTTCTTAGGGCGTGAAAACGCTCATCGCCATCAGCCATCCTACGGTGAAACATGGCAATCATGTGTGCTTTCCGTCGGTCAATCCTTTTCCTAAGGCTTTTAAACTGCCTTTGATGCTGAAGAAACTTTGCGATTATAGCATTCGATGTGTGGCGGCTCCGGATTTGTGTCGGACGCCTAATAGGCTCAGGCTCAGGCCGCATTAACGAAGTTACAAAGCTGTATAACATGAGCACAAACAGCACAACTTCAGTCGACTCCATCTCCATCATGTCTGAGGTCGGAAGGTAAACAACAGACAGTATACGCGGGAAGTTTTTCTTCTTCTTCTTCTCTTGTTTTCTAGCGGATTGCAAACAACTTTAAGGTGCATACCGCCACCTACTGTACTCGCCGTGAAGTGGTTTGTGGCCTGCCAGTAAAACCAAAGCAGAAGAAGAAGAAGTGACGTCAGCGGCTCATTTGCGTAATCTTCCCTCAGGGAAAAGTACTCCGGTGTGAACGCGATCTGTACTAAGTGCCCTGGGGTTAAAAGCGCCGGGGCTCTTAGTGCCGGAACTAAGTACAGGAAAGTACTTGGTGTGAACGCGGCTAATGGCTACAAATCAATATATGATTGGTTGATCAAACTGTCAATCCAATCGTACACTCTCCTTCAGTGTAAGGGCCAGGGCATTCTATCAAGGATATAGAATACCTTGGTTGAAGGATATTCATCCCAGAGGCCCAGAAAAATATCTGATTGGTTGCATTTTTTTTCACGCAAAACCACTCAAATGCGTAGTGCATGGACTGAGAAAGACAAACAAATCAACGTAACACTGTAATATTACAGATCAACAACACAGATACCATTCTCATTTATTCATTTTATTTATATAATTAAATCGATTTTTTTTGTTGGTTTTATCTGAGTGTTTCAGGGTATTCTCTGAATACCCTGAAGGCCCTGAGGGTTCACCACTGACTATCACCATTGTTAGCACTGCTACCAATACACTGCTATCCTGATGACCTTTGTTTATTCTTTATTATTATTATTCTTTATTATTACTATTATTATTGTACAATTATTGTTTTTATTTGTACTTCTTAGCTGTTGTTTTTCATTTATTTGAGCTCAGCCCTGATGGATTATTTTAAAGGGTTGGGTTCTGTTTTTTGTTGTATCCTAAGTGTTAATAACTATGTAAAACTGGGTAACTAAACTTGTAAAAGTATGATTTGTATGCTTCAATATCACAATAAAAAAATTGCTCCAAAAAATAAACATACATAAATAATGTATATGAAAAGATTATATAAATAAATAAATTAAAGAACAAAAAAGTTATTTATTATAGCTCGTCAAAAGTTGACATTTGCAGACATACATCAACATTTCAGAGGACAGCACTTTGGTCTTAAAACAGTGTGTTGTGTGTATTAGCTTTGGCCTTTTTTAATGTGTATAGATATATTTATTTGATATGTATTGGTTGGTTGATCTGTCCATCACTTTACCAACCCTTCGTCATGGCTCTGCCTTTGAGCATTGAACAGCTTATAAATAAATAAGTAAAACAAAAATTAGGTGCATAGTTTTACGTATAAACATGGGCAAAGCCTGATATTAGGCTGTTCATGGATAGTACCAGATTATAAATTATTGTATTCTGTTTTGTATTGGTGTCATAAGCTGCTTTTCAATACTGAAGCGGTATAGATATAGCCTTAGATGATACAGATACATAGAGAGGAACATCTCTTCTTTTGGCACGTTTTCCTTTCTCCACTCTCTTCCTCCTTATCTGCCTTCTGTCTGTGTTAATGTCTTGTGTGTATGAGCCATCCTTTTGTCTTATACTAATAGTTATCATTACATTTCTTCCATGAAACTTGGATTGGCTTAGTTGTGGCTTTGAAAATAGCATTCTTAGGCTGCCATCTAGTGACAGAAGCTGTGCACATATTAAAGGTAAAAATTGAAAAATAACTTGTCAAAACGCCATAACACAGAGAGGATCAATTTACAAATCTAAAATCCAAAAGTTAAGCTTTTGAAATCTGAGCCTCAGGTTGCATGCTGGTGAATTGCAATGTTTGCTGTCCATTACAGTTTAACTTGGATCTGAAAGCGAGGCCAATGAGCGGAAGCACAGGCCACAGCGCGATAAGAGCGGAAAGAAGCCTGTTGTTTCAGTGTGACCCAGCCTCACAGCTCGCTTGGATTCAGACCAAACTGCAGACTTTACCCTATCCACAAATAAAAAACTTGCAATTTGACGGTACATTTGGTAGCACTTTATGTAACATATTTTTTGCAACGTGATCAATATAAGACACACATGTCTATAGGCAAGGTTCACTGAGAGTGGACCTGTTGCCTCTGCCACACACTCCACACACCTGTTGCCTCTGTTGCCACACACAACAACAATATCACTACTGTACTTTTACTACTACTACCTCTAATAATACTAACACTACAACAGCTATTACTACTGTTTGTATGTTAACTACATCTTCATCCAGGGCTGCAGACAACACTCAACAGAAGCCGAGTCAAAAGTAAATGCACTGCATCAATATAGTGCTTTTCTTTGTGACCCTCAGAGAGCTTTTCATATACAAGTCAGTATTCACTCATTCACACACATCCATACAGAGGCACAGTGCAAGACCGAGTACAGCTCTGTCACGAGAACCATTTCCCCCTGGGATTATTAAAGTATTTATGTGTGTCACTGCAGATAGTTCACGACTACTGCATTGTTTCATTATAGTCATTGATACTACTGGTACTGATTTATAACCGTGTATAAAATACAATAACACATTGCCTTGCCTACTACTGCTTCTACTACTACGACTACTACTAATACTACAACAACTCTTATACTAATACATTGGTATTTCCTTTATTTATTAAGGAAGCAAAACCACAATGCAAATCACATTTCCTGTACATCTATTACAAGTACTACAAGTAATAAAAGTGCAAGTACCGATTGGAATGTTAATGCACAGTGTAGCAAATTCAAAGTACTTAAGGTAGCGGGAGCTGATCCACAACTGTGACACATATTAAAAAATCTTATCAATATAAACTACAGTCCACCACTGCGCTACTAGTATTAGCAAAAATACATGCTGAGGGACCTGCTTTCATTATGAAACTGCTAGTTTGGTAGCCGTTACCTCTCCTCTCGTGAAGTTGTAAAGAGTACACATTTAAATCTGTGGTTAGGTATGTATAGTCGTATTGAAAAAGGTTTCCTGCCACTTAAGAAAATGTCATGAGTCAAATGTTATACACAAGAAGGAACACAACAAGTATCTTAGCAACACAACTTGGCCGAGTTTTGAATGCAGCGAGGGGCTCGTCCCGGCCAATGAGAGCTGGGATTCAGTTGGATGGTGCAGGGGTGTGTTGTGGTCTGCTTCGTGGAACTGGCTTTGGGGAAGAGGGTTATCTCCTGCTGATAAGGGTCACGTTTAAAAAGCTGTGTGAGGATGAACTCACTTCACACTGACGGCAGGAGGGAGCCTCACAGGATTTGACAAACCATGCTGCTGCTCGTGGTCTCCGTGTCTCTCACCAATATGTTCTTTGCTGTTGGAGTGGTTTGCGTGCCTCTGCCTGAACAGGGGCCCCCCACCTCGCACCACTGGGGCCCGGTGGTGCGGCTGCGGCACCTGTACGCCGCCCGGCCCGGGCTCCACCTGCTGATCAGCGGGGACGGACAGGTCCACGGCTCGGAGCAGCAGACCCCACACAGTAAGTCCAGCACTTCAGAACACCTGCTGCTGAATCACTGGTGACTGCAGGGGCTTGTGGGAGTTCTCACTGTGATCCACATGTGCCTGCAGGCCTGCTGGAGATCAGTCCGGTGGAACCAGGCTGTGTAGTGATCCGAGGAGTCGCAGCCTCAAAGTATCTCTGCATAGAGCCTGACGGAAGGCTGTACTCAACGGTAAGATTCCCCATGACAGACTGTGTTTATTCATAATGTTAAATATATATATTTGCACAAGTTAATTATTTGGGATCAAATAATTAATTCATTTGTTTATTCATATTCATAAAAAGACACTAATGTAAATGAAATGATAAGTGAGGTCAAATATAAATGTGTCTAATTACCACAACAGAGGGGAAATAATAATAAGGCTGAATATGAACCAATCAGTCATTTCATATGTATCTAACTAGTGTACAATCCTAATAGAAACTGTATTCTATAGTCCCATTTGAAATGTATTATTGTGAAATCTTTGCTTTACTGTAACATTTTATAACTGCAAAACAATGAGCTCAAACTGATGTTTTCAAATTAGAATAACTTTAGAAAGAGCATCATTTAACAGATCTCCACACATTTAACAGAAATGAAATGTGACTTTCAAAAAGAACACACCTTTCACCTCCTGCCAGCCGATATCACATACTGTGATCTATATATTTTCACTGTAAAAGCCACTTCAGCACTTTATCATTTCACTTAAATTGATATTCTACCTTTATGCTCAGGGGAAAGCTATACTTTATGTACTTCCAGTTTAAATGCCAACTTTTCCTATTTGAGCTTCTTCACATGTGTTCACTGGGTGGTTTCAGCAGCATTATGTGTTATCCTCTGTTAGGCTGCTCTACTTCATTCCATTAATGTTGGCTATTTTTTTGACTAAAATAAGATCTAAGATGAGATAGATAGTATTATTGTTCACTATTTACTATTGTTACAAAAGAGTAAACCAACGGTTATCTTTTATTTATTCTATTTATTTTATTCTAAATCCACCGTGTACAGTCTAAAACAGAATTGTCACCATTTGACACGCTGTACCATATTATATCTTCAGATCATTCTCATCTTTAGTTCTTTGGCAGGTTAAAATAAGACAAACAGTACACAATAAACACATGATGCAGAGTTATACAAAAACAAACAAAATGATACATTGGTGTCGGGTAAAGTCATGAGATCAAATCCAAGGTCAGTGACAGCGCGCAGCAGCTTTAAAAAAAAAATGAAAGAGCTTTAAAAACGCAGCAATGTATCTAAAAGAAATGTGCTTAACCGACATATTCAAACATTGCTGAGGAAATATTACTGTAGCCTGCGACCTGAAGTTTGCTCTTCATGTTGTTAATCTGCTCCGTGTTGGGAAAACACTGCAGGCCAGTCAGTCATTCATTAAAACGGCTGGTTCGTGAACTTTTGTCCGTGTGGTACAGGGCAGGATGTGTTTGCAAAGTGAAAAGCTGAATGAAAGTCAGCAGCAACAACAACCTTGGCCTCTGACTGGCGCTCTGATGCCAAAGCAAACAGCCGTCGAAGAACTCGCAGCCTGATTCACATCTGTTTTGGGCTTTTTCTTGATAAAAGGGGCCTATTGAATTGAATACTATAGAAAAGTGCTATTTTAATTTAGGAATCACTTTGCTGTCCCAGCTACTTTCTTACCTGCAATCATACCAGTGAAAATAATCAGCTTAGAGCTTAAAAGGTCCCATGTCATGCTTTTCCGGTTATTACCCGTCCCCTTGTGTTATGTAGCTTTGTCTGCATGTAAACGGTCTGCAGAGTCACAAACCCTCAAAGTACACCCTGTAGTGAGTAAAACTCTAACACAGAGAAGACCTGTCTATGCTGCCCCAGAACGCCTCGTTGGACATTTGTCTTTTTCCATTTGTTTCTTCCTGGGTACAGTGACGTGCCCATACCCAAATGGACCCATTGGTCCGTGGAGCTCCTCGCACACACACACACACTCTCAGCGGCGAAACGGTGACGCGCTGGGGGGGGGGTGGGGGGTGGGGGGTGGTGCTAGTGGAGCCTCGCAGCGGCGAAACTGTGGCGCGCTTAGACTGAAGGTGCGCCACGTTTGGGGGTGCGGGGGTTGCGGGGGCTAGTGGAGCCTCGCAGCATCCCCCCCTTCCCGCGTCCATTCGCGATGTCTCGTTGTCTCGCAGACCCCACGCAGCAAGCAGGAAATGAACCCAGCTCACACTGTCCGCTCCTCACAGCAGCGAGCCGCGCAACGTCCCGCCAACACGGCACCCAGACCCCACGCAGCATTCTCATCTGTTTGTCATTACTGGTGTCATTTTCTGGTTGCTAACGCCATTGTAACACATAATCACTGATGTTCCGCTGTAACGGTGGTGACCTCATCAGAACAGAGTGGGCGAGCTGACCAATCAGTGGGCTCACAGGGAGGGGGGGGCAGGAGCTCCAACAAGGCGTTTAGGACAGAGAGTGAATACACATACTATACAGAGATGCTGTATGAGAAACCAATGTGAGTTTGGAACATTGAACAATGTAAATCTATTCTAGTAGACCTCAACAATGGAATTATGATCAGTAGAAATGGCCATGTCATGGGACCTTTAATATAAAAAAATATACATGGGTAGAAATGTCTAGTAACATGTTAAGGTAAATGGTGATTGTTTTATTAATTAACAGTTTAAAAAATACAAATAAAAGTACATTACATTACATATCTTTTGGGGATTTTCACTCTGATCTTTCACTTTTTTTTATCTTATCTCAGTTGTAGGGGCTGTACAAATATAACTGACTTGTTTTGAGAATATTTATCACATATATTCCTCGCGAGGAAAAGACTCAAGGATTTAAAACCTTAACGCCGCTACAGTTTGATTGGAAATGCTAAAACATTTAGCACAAGAAGTGAAGAGTCATAAGAGTCAAGAGTCACCTACGGAGTTACCTGAATATGTCAATGAGTATCCATCCAAAGATTGCTCACATAAGCCAATTGAACAATGTATATTAATAGTATAGTAAATAGGTATAAACATTGGGATGACACTAGTGAAATATGTTGAAATGCAAACAAAAGGAAAATTGGATGAAAGTGTGCTTCTAGTATGAGTAAAACAAAGAAATCGATTTTTATTAAAAAGTGAGTTTTATATAAAATTGTGATTTTCAACATTATTTATCAGATAAAAAAAGTGATTTCAATGTACAAGTAACATTCGTAATACATTTAATATTAGTGTTATTGCACGACAGTGGTGTTTACATCCTTGCACATTGGTGTAATTTCACAGCTGGGGTGTCATTTATGTAGAGGCTATAAAAAGCCCAATGGGTTTTTTGCATCTTGCGTTTGTCATTTGTTATATTATGTTTGTGTATTATTACATTGTGAAAAAGCATTAAAACCATGCATAGAGAGTCATAGAACACTGTAGTGTAATTTCAGAACCTTGTGATTAACGTGTGACCGTATGTTCCTCAGCCCACCTACAGCAGGGACTCCTGCACCTTCAGAGAGCAGATCCTGCCGGACGGCTACAGCGTCTACACCTCGGTCACACACGGGGCCCTGCTCAGTCTGGGAACCCCACGGCAGAGGAAGCAGGGCCGGGACCGAGGCATGCCGGCTCTGGCTCAGTTCCTCCCCAGGATCAGCAGCCTGGATCAGGTCCCGGACCCTGGACCGGATGTCCCTGAGCAGCTGGAACAGAGGAGGCCGACAGAAGAACCTGTGGATGCCATGGACTCGTTTGGGCAGCTCTCTCAGATCATGCACAGCCCCAGCTTCCACAAGAGATGAGACAGAGTGAAGGGACAGCAGAGAAGGGATTTGTCCTGAGGGATCTTTGTCTGAGAGCATGCACCCCTCCCTGCATGTTGAGGTAGCAGGAAGTGAGGTTCAGCCGGCCTGCACCCAGAGAGGCTGCTGGGACATCCTGCCAGCACCGTCCCGTCAGACCTGCCTGAACTGAGCACAGTGTGCTACGTACTAAGTGTCAGGGTCCATTCTGTCACTTTCAGTACACTTCACATAGAGTTGTGTTTGAAAAAAGACAGCAACTCTGGAGTTACTGTAGAAATAGCAGTAGTAACGTCCCAACTGTATAAAATCACAGTAACCAACAATGTACTGTAGAAGATCACAGTAACCAACAATGTACTGTAGAAGATCACAGTAACCAACAATGTACTGTAGAAGATCACAGTAACCAAAAATAAAGAACCAACCGAAAAACCCCATTTCTAGAATAGCTAAAATATCTAAAATATCTTAAAGTGGACCTATCATGCTATATTTAAATGATATATTGTAGGGCCATACCTATATAAGGTATATTTATACGTTTCTGTTTTCAAAATACCAAACAGATCATGCATTTTAGCCATGCCTCATTTCGCTCTATGTGCTGTTTGCTGTCTACGGGTCTGATTCTGTGAGCTGCAGCTGACCACGCCCCCCTGCAGGAGAGGGGAGCCGTGCTCTGATCAAGTCAGAAGAGGGGGAGAAAAATAGATCTCCGTCCTCCGTGTTTTATTATATAGAGTCGTTATTCATTTGTTTTAAAGCTCAATAAATAACAAAGAAGACCTTTGACCGGCACTTTTCTAATTTTGTCTTGAAGATTTAAACTTTAACGGACATCTTGACCGGCGAATGAAACTGAAACTGAAACTCTGCCGCACGGTCCCCTCGTTCCTTGGAAGAGGCGGAGAGGTGGGTGTTTGTCATCTGCTGGTGGACTAACCGGAGAGAATTACAGTGCTTGCCTCGACGGGGAGGGATTGCATTGAATTAAAGCAGCGGGAGCAAGCGCTTGCCTCGGGGAGGGAGAAAAAAAGCCACAGCGGAGAATAAACAGAAGGGTAACCATGGTAACTATGGGCGGGAAGTCTTCTTCGCTGCTTTTGTGGCAGACTACAGCGCCACTTACAGGCCTGGCATATGTACTACAGCATCTCCAGCGCTTTCGAGCGGCAATGGCCGGCCGTGGCACAACCCCACATTCCCCTGATAGGTGGAGAGTTGGCCCAATAGCCGTAGCGCCACTTCTGTGACGTCAGTGAAGTGTTCAAATCTGGATCAGTCTGTATCAGATCTGTTGCAGCCCCTTTTTTAGAGATTTGGGTATGGAGGAAAATAGAGAGGGTTGTGTTTTCTGACACTTGGTGAGTTCCCTGGAACACCGGGGACACATATTCATGTATAAAAGACGTACAAAAGTGCATTTTGCATGATAGGTCCCCTTTAAATAAACCAATATCTTTTTCTTAATATACATAATCTTGATGCAGTGTAATTACTAGTTTGGCTATACTAGATATTGTATATACTTAGTAGATATATATTTTTAAGACCCTATGTCTTTGCAAACCGGAAGAACTACAAATGTGGTGCTGATTCATACAAAGAATGTGTCTTGGCATTGCACCTTAAAAACGCAACACAGAGGAATAAAAATAGACAAAAGTAAGGTAATAATCATCATTTGTATTATTATGGCGGCTCAATTCCCAGTCCAGTTTGAGTCGCAGAGAGGCTAAGCTTGGATATAGGCTGTGACGCGTTTTCAAAGAGAAAGTCCACACCGAAGTAATATAGTCTGACAATATTTAATAAACAAAAACTAACGACAAACTATAGGGACAAAAAATAGGCTTGTTTGAGATGAGCTGCGGCTCGCCTCGAAAGTCGACGAGAATAGCCGATTGCAGCCGGAGGAGGTCTCAAAAAGCTCGCCTGAAGTCGGACAGCTCGGAGTCGGCTTGACTCGGTTTGTAATGGCGGAAATTGCATTGGCGTTCTTCGTTGCAGATTAAGTGGATGCAATAGAAATCCCACAATTATTATATCACTACAAATGAATGACTCAAGTGTCTGTTCATTTTAAAACAAATCAATACAAGGGGGGTTGAATTCTACATGTAAAAGACAGAACCACTACTTTTCAAAACTACTTCCGTCAGTGGTCTTGACCAGTTTGCATTTATAAAGAATGCACAAATGTGTTTAATCGTTAATGTCAGATATGTACTAAGTAAATACATTTGTTCCTGCTCAAGATTAGATTCAACTTTATTGTTATTGCACAGATTACAGGTACTGAGACAACGAAATGCAGTTTAGGTTCTAACCAGGAGTGCAACAAGCAGTGAAGTGAAAAGTAATGTACACAATCTATAGAATAAAATATAGAATGAATTGAATGATGAATAAACAGTGAGGGGTATGAACAACAGGACACAGGAATGGTTTAAATAAACTGGGTTTTTTTATTTACCCAAAAGTCCACAGAAAACATCATAAATAAATAATTTCTAATAACTAGGCCTATAAAAGAGGTCAACAGAAAGTGCCTCAAAGAAACATGGCAACAACTTAACAGGTGTTAACTCAACAAACTGACCTGCTACAAAGAAAACCCAAGGAACCTATATAGTGGCTTGGCCAAACCAAGTTGAAACCAAGGGATAATTAATAGTAACAGAAAACACAAAGGACACTGACAAAACCCAAATCCCCCCTTTAACATGGAAGCAGGTGGTTTGTCCCAATCTGTCCCAATTGGCTCCTTGCAGTATTTATGAGTCCTCAGCGCTCGGCCACGCCCTTTGCCGAACTAGTAAGTAACCTCCCCCCATGGACCTGGTAACTCAAGAGACAAAGAAAGTCATTAATACAAACAATTTTGTCAGTTCATTTATGTAACCGTAGCCAAAGTTTGACAGTCCGACGTCAGGCCGCTTAGTGAAAAAGCAAGTTAAGCTAACTGTACTCTGCAAGCTTATCAAAATGTCTTACACGTGTAAGGTTTGTAAGTTCAGTACAGGGTCCATTCCTGCATGCATTTGGTTGTTTGTATTCAAAGTGTTTTCAAATATTGTGTATTATCTAAGAATAGTGATAATGTATTTGCCAAACAGTGCCTTTTGTTGTGTCTCGTCAAATGTGTTAGTTATGTTTATGTATTATGTCTGTCATTTCATTGTTTTGTTAGTTTAAGTTTATCTTAAGTTCTCTTTTTGTTATGCTTAGTTTTTTCCTCCTTGTGAGTGTTTTTTTTTGTTATTCCAGTACTTACTCTGTTAAGAGGAATTTTCTGTTCAATGACATTAAAAAGACAATTGTTGTTCCATTCAAGACTGTCCCTGGGTCGTGCATTTGGGTTCTCCAGTTTGTGTCGAGGTCGTGACACCTTTTCAACTACAGCACGTCTCTGAAATGGCTTGGCAGAAGAAATGGCTTCATATTTTTTGTGTTGATTTGTTATCGCCACTGTTTTAAAAATGCAATCTCCATGTTTTTGGATATTAATATCGATTGTTTTATGGATGAAAATATTTCTAATTTAGCACAAGAAAATACATGGTCTTGATACCATTCAACAATTAAGAATACATTTTTAAAATGTATTGTTTGCTGTCTCCCTGCAGTTATTGGTGAGCTTTAAAATTGTGTCAAGAATTTCTGGTAATCTGTAAATTACCAGCATGACATGAAGTATACTATAATAAATTGTTTTACAGTTACAATACTGATACTGTAACTTAAAATGATAGCATTAACGTTTCTATTTTACAGTTGAAACTCTATTACCATAAACAAAAATACAGTACTTTTTAAATGGCAGTGTTTTATTTTACAGTTAAAATACTATTACCTTAAACAAAAATACAATGCTTGGAAATGACTGTGTTTTATTTTACAGCTATAACACTACTGCTGTAACAAAAAATAAAGTAATTAAATATTACTATTTCATTTTACAGTTAAAACACTATTACCGTAAACACAAATACAGTACTTGGAAGTTACTGTGTTTCATTTTACAGCTATAATACTAATGAAGCTCAGCGCAAGTTCAACCAGGAAGACCGTCTTTACTCATTCATGTATTTCTATTCCCATGTTATTACTCTCTCTCCTCTCAATAAGTGACCGGGGGCGTCACTCTTCAGCTTAACCAATCACTTCGCTCTATTCCCAAGAGCCTATCATTGCGCTCTGTCAAACCTTTTAAATCTGCTCTCCCCTTTGACAGCTCTCATTCCAGGTGAATCGCCGCAACCCTCCTCCACCCCTTTTCACCTCCTGTCCCTCTGAATCCAGGGTCAAGCTAAACCACTCCTCTTCAGACCGACCCAACTATCCATTCACCACCACCAGTGTCTAGACCCCAGGGGGGTTTCATCGGATCGGTTCTACCCTCCCGAATGATACTTCCTGCACAACGGGGCCTAATCGCCAAAATTACCATTACATTCATTTGTGCATCTGCGCAATAAATATGTATTATTACATCAAAACCGTCTCTCCTCTACTGTAATACCAAATAAAGTAAGTAAGTTTACTGTGTTTCATTTTACAGTTAAAACACTATTACCGTAAACATAAATACAGTACTTGGAAGTTACTGTGTTTCATTTTACACTGTTACTGTATATAAAAACTTGTAAATACTGTGATTACCTTTACAGTATTTAACTGGCAGCAATTGACAAGTTACTTACTGTAATTCATTTTACAGTATTTAACTTGTCAATTGCTGCCAGTTAAATACTGTGAATTTCACGGTACGTTTCTTACAGTGTACTCATCAACTCAAAAACACCAGATTATACCTGTTAATTACACAACATTGATTGGTTACAATGTTTTCATGTTTTTCCCCTTCGATTCGGAGAAACAAATAGGTTTATCTGAGTTTAGGATGGCCGAAGACACTACACTACCCATAATCCTCAGCTATCATTTGGGACGACGCCAGTCCACTTTGCTCGACAAACCCCGTGATTATCCACAAGCTCTGATTGGTTGACCTCCGACTTTATTCCATATGAAAAAAACGTTTCGTAAAAGATCAAATCATACTTTATTCAGCAGTGCTTGCTTTACTCTTTGAAAGTCATCACATGAATGCATTGTAATAAATGGTTCGGCTGCATTAAATAATAAACA